AAGGGCACCCTATCTAGTTCTTATAGGGGTGGTAAGTAGAGCTCCTGCCCACCCGCTTTAGGACTAGATTCTGTATCTCCTGCAGATCCCTTACAAGCGGCACCTAGAGCTCCTAGAAAAAGCAGAAAACTACGAGTTAAAGGACTGCCACTAACGCGTGTTAGTAAGCAAGCTTAGGGATAGGACCCTAATAAACCACCAGGAGGCTCTATAAGTGCGGGGATATACATAGTGATAGATCCATTAGATATGGATCTAATTAGAAATCCCTTGCACGATCTTTTGGTACATCCTAAACCAAACGCTATAATCTACGCTGTGATCGCAGCAGCGATAGGGAGCAAATCCCCCAAAAACCCTAAAAGAAATACGCACTGGGACGCCCTACAAAAAGAGCCAAAATAATAGAAGGATCTCTATAACCACCAAATAGGACAGCAATTTAGAGACGCAGCATATAAAGAAATCAATACTCTGCTAAAAGCTAGTACCTAGGAGGAGATTAATAGGCCAAATACAGGAGAGCGTCTACTCCTACTTAAATAGGTGTTTACATACAAGCTTAATTAGGATGGTTACCTAATTAAGTGTAAAGCAAGGATAGTAGTAAGAGGAGATCTATAGCTTACTGACTTAATTTATTCAACCTACGCAGCTACCCTAGCAGCTTGAACCTTTAGGACTGCAATAGCTATTAGAGCTAAGTTTGACCTTAAGATATATTAATATAACGTTGTTAGAGCTTTCCTTAACGCCTTAAGAGATTAACACCCTACAGTTATCTGCGAGCTACCTAAAGGATATTAAATACCTAGGAAGTGCGTTAAGCTTAAACGAGCTCTATATAGACTGAAAGACTTACTATTATTATGGTATAATAAGCTCTTAACTACACTCTGAGAAAATAAGCTTATTGCTTCTAAAGAGGAGCTATGCCTGTTCTTTAACAGAGATCGCAGTATCTTGTTAATATTCTATGTGGACGATATCCTATCGCTCTATTACTAAAACTACGCAAGCTAAGCTTACAGAGTTATCTAAGCTCTAAAGCAAAGATATAATATAGAGGAAAAGGGACCTATAAGCTGGTTTCTAGGGGTAAGAGTGATCTGGGATAGAAAGAGACAGACAATAACGCTTATTTATAATGAATACATTAACAAGATTGCAAAGAAATTTAATCTAGCAGAGATAGGAAAATTCCCTACTACACTACTATTAAGTGAAGACATTAAAAAGAGCATAGGAGAAGCCACCAAAAAAGAGATTAAGGACTATTAGGAGCGCGTTGGATTAATCCTTTACACCTTAATTATAGTGCGCCCTAATATTGCCTATGCAGCCTCCTAGCTCTCCTAATACCTTACTAACCTATCTAAACAACACTTTGATGCGGTTAATTAAGTAATCGTCTATCTATACTAAACTTAATACCAATTAATCTAATATAGGAATAGGGATCCTAATAAGCTTATAATATGTAGTGATGCGTTATTTGCTAATAATATTAATACTTAGCGATCATTATATAGATACCTGATCACGCTCTTTAGAGGACCTATTATTTGGAAGGCAGCTTAACAAGCAACTGTTACTACTTTGACTACTAAGGCAGAGCTCCTTGCGCTTAAGCAAGTGAGTAAAGAAGCAATAGCGTTAAAACGCTTTTTAACTAAAATACATCTCACTTTAGATACTACCTAGATGATTAATTGTAATAATTAATAAACTATTAGGTTAGTAGTAGGCAACAACGAAAGGATCACCACTAAGCTGCGCTATGTGGATATTTAAAACATGTGGCTTAGGCAAGAATATGTAAAGGGATCTTTCTATATTGCCTACCTACCTACTAGTAATATGCTAGCTAATAGGCTTACTAAAAATCTAACCGCATAACAATTTATAAGGTTTAGGGAGCACCTAAAGTTACACGATAGTAGAGCACAGATTATATAATATTAATTAAAGTAAGGTAGTATACAAGATCTATTAATATATAATACAAGAATAACTAACTATAGCCTACCTCTCTATTATTAACTAGGCAGCTTCCCTAAGGAGCTCTATCACGCGCGCGAAGCGTGCCTTAGAGTCTATAGGGAGCCGCCTAGGTTGCTCTATCCTAGGATCTATAGGGGGAACCTTAGAGGAGCTAGAGTCCTTATCTTCTAATAAGGAGCTCTAGGCGCCCTTAGCTGCTGAAGCAGCCTTGCGCGCAAGCTTGGCGGCAGCAGTAGCGGCTTTTACTAGCTCCTGCTACTTAGCCTCGCTCTCCTTAAGGAGCACTAAGACCCTCCGCTTCTTATTCTTAAGAAGGTCTTAGCTCTTACCTGCCTGCTTCCTTGCTAGGAAAGACAGCGCAGAATGTTAGGCAAGCTTAGGGCTATTAGTTTATTAGTATAAGATCTTGCTAAGCGTTATAAAGGAAAAATTCTTGTATAGATTATATATATTAGGATATAGCTATGCCTAGAGGAGCACTACTAGCACTAAGTCCCCCCTACTAGAAGAGTTATAGCACTTACTATTAGACTTGTTAAAGAGCGCTAAGCGCAGACAATTTAGACAAGTTTTAGCACGACGAATGCTAGGCTCTCCGCAGCAGGAGGATCTTGGGGTCTCCTTAGGAGCTAGAGAGGGAGCAGGAGCGGGGACAGGGGATAGGGTCTAGGGAGGAGCGGGAGCTAGAGTTAGAGCTAGAGTAGTAGGAGCTAGAGCAGGAGCGCCCTTCCTTAGCTTCGCGATCTTTACCGCAGTAGCAGCAGCCGCGCGCTTAGCTACTGCACACTCTGCGATAGCCTTACGCTTAGCAGTAGCGCGCTCTTCTTTAGTAGCAGCAGCTTTAGTAACTACAGCTTTAGCTGCGCGGGAGGCAATAAGGGCAGCGCAGGTAGAGCGAGCGTAAGCAGCAGTTTTTAACTTTAACTAAGATATAGGTTAGTAGGGATATAGGCATGGTTTAGATCTTTAGGGTTGCACGATCTTATAATATAGGCTATAGTAAAGATTATAGTTAGGTAGATAGAGTTACAGAGCTAAGTCTAGGTAATATCTACGCGTGCGAGCGCAGGCTAAATAAGGAAGGCGCGCTAGTTAGTATCTAAAGGGTAAGCTAATTTGACCCTTTAGATATACGACGCTCTGATTAGCTACACCACCTACTAACCATAAGCGCAACCATAATAACAAAAGATCTACCTATATCTAGGGGGTGTGTTGCAGGAGGGATATTAACTAGATCATAGAGCATCTTGATCTGATTAATCCTGATTAATACCCCTGTATGACCTACTATCTAATTAACTGCTAGCTTACTGCTAAGCGCCTAACAAAAAGCAGGAGCTCTAGTAAGGAAGGTTTACTAATTATTTACCTTCTAGTAAGGGTAGCTAAAGCTCTATATATATGAGTCCGATCGTAGTAGATACAATCTAATGATCTATCTCCTAAATTATTCCTGACCTTAGTGATCCAATTTTCCACAAGAGCTCTATAGGATACCTAGTTATAAGATTTTAACCTATTATAATACTAAGCTTTCTTTATAGGATTACTAAGTAGGTAGACAAGCCACACCCTAGGGGTATCCTAGCTTAAGGAGGTGTTTAATCGCAAGATAAAAGCTAAAGCTTATACTTTATACTAGCTCCTTATCCTTAATAGCTATAGATCTTATATAATAATAAAGTTTATTAAGTACTATAATAAATATAAGATCCTACTTATAATATATCCCCCTTATAGCACTTACACCCTTTAGCCACTTAATATTATAGTATTTGCTCCCTTTGTAGCTTTATATAAAGCTTAACTATCTAGTTTTCTAGATAGCTCCTAAGGGCTTACAAGTATTACTAAGAGGGATTTCTACTAGTTATTTAATACTACATAGAGCAATACCTTTAAGGAAAAGCTAATATTAATAGCTTTTAAAGTAACAGGTATCTTACTACTTAACCCTAATATTATCCTTTTAAGGTTTAAAGCACCTATAAATAATAGTAACTAGCCTTCTTTAAGTAATAGTATAACCTTAATATTAAGTGCAGGTAATTAGAGAAAGATAGAGTAGTTACTCTATAATACTATAATTAATATCTATAATAAATAGTTAAAGAAGCTTAGCTAGATAATCCACACTATATTAGTAAGAAATACTCTACTTAACTATAAAAATAAACACCTAAGGGCTACCCTAGCTAATAAGAAGAAGTGTAGGAAGTGTAGTAAACCTCTATTATTACCCCCTAATAATAATTATAGTAGTAGTGCCTAATTTATTTTACTATTAAAGGTAGAGCAAGTGTTTAAGCTCTAGGAGTAAAAGAACCTTAAAGAACAGGAGCTATAATACTAAAAAAGCAAGGTAATTAAGCTTTATAAGTAATAGAAGCTTGCTAAAGCTTAACTTATAAAGGAGCGTTACCTAAATTAAGTAATTACTAAGAAAGAGCAGAAGGAGAAAGCTACCTAAAAAGCTACTACACGTAATAAGTAGAAAACTACTAAGCAACTAGAAAAGTAACTCTAAAATAATATTAAAACGTCCTAAATAGGTAAGAGGTAAATCCTTAAGCCTCCTACTATTATACTAGCTAAGGTGGTTAATAAGGAGCTAGTAGAAGAGGATATAGTAGTAGAGGCAACTTTACAGCGTGGGCGCCTAATCAGACCCCCTAAAAAGCTGCTTACATAATCTAAAATATTTAATCTACTCTAATAGATCTAATAATCGCGACTCTAAGAAATCTCGTAATAATAGCTATTGTGGGTGGCGCAATATCCTCATTTAGTGGGTGGTGGATTTTGGTGTTGGTGGGCGCTCGGTGGGGGTGGGCGCTCGGTGGTGGATCACGTTAACCTGTTTGGATGATCGAGCAACAAAACGTGAATCTCCCTGCCTGAAATAATGACGTTATCGCAACACCACAACATACACTTCACATCAACAGGCTAACTTGCCTAAGGATGCTAGATCACAACATTTACAATCCAGAATGAATCCAGATCCAGGAATCTTGAAGCTCCTCGGCGTAGATGCTGATGAAACGAGCATATCTCCGTCTGGCAGAGGAGGCTGCAGCTCCGCTACAACATCGGAGATGTATCACGGCTCGACAATGGCATCTAAAAGACGTTTTTCATGAAATCAGGAACTGGCAAAGAAGCAGAGATCAAGTTTAAAGGTTTTTGGGTCCTTTCGAGGCTTTAGAGGCTCGAGACAAGCTAATACCCTGACTGTAAGGTGAGCACGCATCACTCCAAGCCCTTCACAATGTCGTGCCATCGATTTGTCCACGATCCTTTGGCCATGTTCGCTTTGAGATGTAGCCTAGTGTATCCTTTCTGGCCATTGAATTCCTCCACCTCACATCACGTTCGACTTCAAAGTCAAGGACGGCGAAATCGCTCGCAACCAAGCTCGCAAAACTGCACACGACGCCTGCGCCTGTCCCTGTGGGTTATGACAAGCCCGCATTCGTCTTCCTGGTGACCACATTTTGCGGGGATACACCACAGCGCGATACATTCAAGGAGAGTTGGGTGGACTTTTACGCTAAGAACCTGCTCATGTTCATATTGGGGAGAGCTGAGACGAAACACGGCAAGGACAAGGACCTCCGCACGCTCGTTGAGAATACAGCATACAAAATAGCTCCGCAAATCATTGGTGATATGCATCTTAATAGTGGCGACGGCGTTGCTCCAGTCGTTGTGCACGGCGACCTCTGGAGTGGCAATGCCGGTACTAGGGTAATTGGCAATATCAAAGGTGAGCCAGAAGACGTCACATATGACCCTTCAGCGTGCTATGCGCACAGCGAGTACGACCTCGGCGCTATGAAGATGTTTGGCGGTTTCAATGCCAGTTTTATAAAGGAGTATCATGAGCTGTGCCCTAGGACCGAGTCAGTACACGAGTATGAGGATCGAGTCAGCTTATACGAACTATACCATCATCGCAACCACTACGCCATGTTTGGGGGCGATATCGCAGTGGCTCTGTAAGCATCATGAAAGAAATAATAGCAAAGTGTGGACCAGATGTATATATTTGTTAGAAAGGTAAGGACTGTGAAATTATATATCAAAACCCCACATGATACATGACAAAATATTCAACTCTGTAAAGTCGCCGTGCTCTGTCTTGATCGAACCCGGTCACGGCTCATAATAGGAGCTCAAGAGAGGCCAGCAACTTGGATTGCAAAGCTTGCAGCGATGTTTGCTGAACTGCCATAGCTGATGTGACTTCCAGTGGCACCTCCATCCCCTCCACCACCGCAGATCATATCGGAAGTACCACAGAATTGCTTAACTTTATTTGCTGGCATATCACCAACTGGCGAACGCTTCAATGGGTCACCGAAGAGGACCGCACCAGCAACCTTAGACGTAGAGAGCCCGTTCCCGAAGGCATTGTGCACCACCATGCTGCCTTGACTGTATCCAGAGACGATAATCTTGGTGTCTGGACACTGAGAAAGAGCTGTTTGGACGAGGCTTGCCATGATTTTGCCACCATCTGCGCCTTGGTTGATGTTGCCCTAGATGAATCAGCAGACATTCAGAAGCTTTCACAAATCTGTATTGTACTTACAGCAGCAGAGGCAGGATAGTCGACACCCTGAACCATCACGCGGTTGGCTCCTAGTGCTGACCTAATGGCCTTGAACATGGGCGGTCCAGACAAAGTGCCAACATTACCCAGCTCCCCTGTCCCACGAGCAAAGATAATGGTCATGTCAGTGCAGCAGCCCTTGTTCTGGAGCCCATTCTCAGTCGCTCCTCCACCAGCCGCAGGCGTGCACTCTGATCTACCGTCCTCAGCTGCGCCAGAAGGGGGGGCTGTTGCATTGGGACTTGTTGGGAGCGCAGGCGTCTGTCCCGAGCTAGAGCCAGATCCAGATTCTGGTCCAGGGTCAGGGCCAGATCCAATGTCAGAGCCAGAACCAAGCCCTGGGAGACCACCAGCAGGTCCAAGCCATGGGATACCACCACCAGATCCAAGCCCTGGACCACTACCACCAGGACTGAGGCCCGGAAGGCCTCCGCTAGCACCACCGAGCCCTGGAATGCTGAATTGAGGGCGAGGGATCGCGCTGGAAAGACCCACAAGAGCAATGAGAGGGACAGTAGTGTACTTCATGATGACTGGCAAAGAAGCACGTATCTAGTGGAATGCAGAACACGTTGAAGCGAAAGTATGTGCACTGCACGAAAGTGAAAGTAATGGGGGAAGAAAAGAACGAGAGACCAAGATGGCTGGAGTGATGTTAATGTCTATTTCATTCTGCTAGAGACGGTCAGTTCTTATATACACAACGGAGAGCTTTCAATCTTCTGCTCATCTAAGCCTTGGATCTTCAGGATTAACGCCCCAGGTATTCATTGACTTGTTTTGAAACGAGACTATGTCATTCTGCTACTCCCTATATGAGCGAGCATCCAGGTCCATGGCGTGGTGATACGAATCGGCGTTGCTTTTGCACTCATCGGCATCGGATAGTGGAAGCGCTTGGCATGGCCTCCATGGACGGCATTGCTTGCATGACTCAAAAACACTTCAATTACACTGAGGAGCAAGCTCAAAGGATCTGCATGAGGTGTCGATCAGTAGGGATATCGTCAATAACAGCCATAAGGCCCAAGGCCTGCGGACCGAACCCAGTTGAACATGCGATGGCCCTTGGCTGCAGACAAGTGGGTCGTTTCACGATGCTCCTAGTGCAACATCACTGTTGAATCACTAATGGCAAATAAACTTTCACTCCCGCAACTGCACCAATCGTTTCAATTCCCATCCTCCAGTTACCGAGACTAGTCATTGCTTGCTCCTCAACGTTCGGCAATCTTATTTCATCACACATGTCACCCCTGCAGCCTAGTGTATCACTACCTACAACTCGCGAGAATGGATGACGGCCTCCACCTCCTTGTGTGCATCGTATCCGTACAGCCACGGCTGCACCTCTGGACATGTCCAGCGACTTGGGAAGGCGCCACGCAACTCTTGGCCAAGCTGCCGTAACATCAATGCATCTCGCCTCTCCTGATCTGGCCCGTCGCGCATGTGAAAGTCTTTCCTTTGCTTGAAAGTCTCTCGCACAATGTCCTCGCCCCGTGACTTGCGCAGTTGCTGAAAGAGTTGCAGATTTTCGGCCAATTGCACTTTTGACCCCAGGGCCTCTGGTCCAAGTAAAAGGCCTAGAACGGCACCGTCTTCAATGGATGAGTTTGCGCCCTGAGCCAGGTACGGTAGCATCGGGTGGCATGAGTCGCCGATCAGCACGAGGTTGTTCTGTGGGTTGATCCACGACACCAGTTCCTTCCGGTGCATCAATTTCCATTTATCAACCCTGTTCACGCAGCCAAGGAACTGGGTTAACCTAATGCGAGTTGAGCATACGAGTGACATGAGGAAAAAGGTGAGTATACGCACACTGGGTCCCATCCCTCAAATAGCTTCTTCATCTCCTGCGTATCGCCTTGTGTTCTTGCCACCCCTTCTTCAAGATCGTCTGGCACGAGCAGGACTATGTTGTACATGTTTCCGCCTCGCATACTGTAGGCGACCACGTGCGCGTCTGGACCGGCCCAGAATCGGCAGGCGGGTGTTTGAACCATTTCTCGCAGCTTGTCGTCTTCGATCTGGTTGATGTCGAGCACGATGCGGTATGCGAGATCGCCTGTGGGCAACGGGGGGTCATTTCGATCCAGCAATGTGGAGCGACAGGTTGACCAGAGGCCATCTGCACCCACAACGAGATCTGCGACATACGTCTTTCCTTCAGTTGTTGTGACCTGAGCTTTGCTTCCAGAAGCGTCTCCAAAGTCGATATGTGAGACTTTTGCGTTTAGCTCGACTGTTATACCGAGTTCTTTTGCCCGTCTAGCCAGCGCTTGCTGAAGATCCACTCGATGACAGTCGGAAAATGGAGCACTGTACTTCTTTCGGATATTGCTGCCAAAATCCTTCTCTTCAGCCAGTGTCTTTCCTTTATAGTTGTACACGCTCAGTGTGTTTGGCTCGCACACTCGATCACGGAGCATATCATAGACCCTCCATTGTTGAAGAAGCCGTGTGGCATTTGGTGTGAGTTGGAGGCCAGCGCCAATCTATTTGGAACGTCCATCAGATCTGAGATGTGTAGCCTGTCCACAAGAATCTCGACATACCTCGGTAAGTGCCTTTGCTGCCTCAAGCACTCTAATTGAGTGTCCAGAGAGCGCACACTGTATGGACGCAGCAAGTCCCGACAGCCCAGCGCCCACAATCAAAATATCCAGTTGGTTCGACATGTCAATTTCTCCATTCACACTTTCATTGAGTATGAAGCACAGTGGTGGTGTTGGCTAAGACTTGCTTGAATACACTCCAACTTGCTGCGACACGTGACCCCATTGTAGCCAGTACCTATGCCTACCGGTCGCAGTTCTACAGCCGAGCCAGTGGTCCTCCAGCAGCCAGGCGCGTTCATCCCGCCTCCGCTCTTCGCGACTGAGTGGGCTAACGTGGTTTCCGTTCTTCCATAGTACCGGTAGCCTACCGAAATGCGGGGAAGGTTTTGCAGAGGTGTCGGATGTTCCCCCCTCTACCCGATGGCTGACGCAGTTTGGAAATCATATGGAACCAAGAACTTTTGTTTATCACCGATCAGCACATCATCAATATCCTACAATGGAAAAAATCATTCTTACCAGCCTCAATTATTTTTTGGTATCGCGCAAGTCAATTGTCACGTGAGGCATCCCCAGCAAACCTTCCCCAAAGGCAGAGTTGTCAACAATCAAGCCAATCAAGCTGGGTACCCTAGCTTGGATTAGCTTAACCTATTAGCTAAAAAAGACAGCTTAGCTTAGCTTAATAAGGTAAAATTAGGCAGCTTAATTAGCTTAATTAATATGCTTAATAGTTATAGTATTTTTAAGGCTATATATATAGGTAGTATTAACTATTCTTAGTATTAAGTTTTAGAATTACTACTAGAATTAATATTAATCCTAATATCCCATATACCTATACTATATAACGCCTCTATCTTATTATTAGTTATAGAGTTTCTATTATTAAGTTTATTATAACTTAAACTAGCTCTATACTACTATTATACATGCTATACTACTACTAGTGTGCCGTGGCATGGGATGTATAGGAGAAAAACAAGGCTTAGCCTAAAAGGTTAGGCGGGTTAAATAGTATAAAGGTATGAAGGATTAGAGGATAGAATAGGACAACGCTAGGAGACTTTACTTAAACTTAACAATCTTAACTATTCTCTTATAATCCTGCATTAAATTTATATCCTCTACTATAGGATCTCTACTATTAAACCTTGCCCCTCCTACTTCTCCTTATTTAAATAGGTTACTCTCCCTATTAGTTTAAATGTGAAGGACTTAGGCTTATGCCTAAGCCTAGGTCTAACACAAGATGGACTAAGTCTAACACTACTACTAAGCGAACACACTAGACACCTATAAAAAGGCGTAGAGGGCTTATCTCTCCTTTAAGATACTAAATACTATTATTAACACTTATTATATTCTCCCTTAAGGCTAGTCTATAATATTTTAGTATCTTCTTCTAAATATACTATAATAGTAATAAGAGATAGACACGCTAGATATTTAGAATAACTAGGTGCAACCTAATATAGTAGAAAGGCTAATATAATAGGTCTATAGATTAATAGAATAATAGGCTTAAGACTCTGCTATAATAGCTATACTACGTTAATAGAACAAGGAAATACGTAATTAGATTCTATCCTAACCCTCCTCTAAGCCTGCTAGGTTTAATAATATGCTGCCTCTACCCTCTCCTACCTTATATTATAAACCCTTCCTAGTTAGCTTGCTATATAATAGCACTAAGGTAAACTTTTCCTCCTAGTAAATAACTATAGAATTTAAACTGCATACAGACAAGGTCTTTATTAGGGATAAGGAGGCAAGGTTTATATATATTTAGTCCTAGTTATTGCCTATAGTCTAGCGCGCTATAGCACTATACTTTAAGGATAGGGCACGCAAGCGTTAGGATATAAGCAGGTTTCTTAACTACCTAGCGTTCTATTATATTAACTATTACAGGCAGGAGCGCGCCTAAGTTATATTAGAACACTTATATTATAGCTAAAATTAGCCTTTTATAGAGTTCTTTATAAATTTTATATAGCTTTTTATATAGTTAGGAGGTTTATACTAGGATAATAAATAGAAGCTTTTATAACTTTAGTAATCTCTTAATAGTTATATACGCTTAGTTTCTCTTAATAGGGGAGTCTTTAGGATAAACTACAACGTAGCTATAGAGGAATATAAGATAATTATAGTAGATATTAAAATAGCCTCTCTAGAACTAGGCTTTCTTTAGGCTAGTAAGTCTAAGGAACCCTAGTAGAAGTCTAACTTAGATTAGGACGGTGATACAAATATAGTAGAAGTAGCAGCCTTATTAAGTGCACCTACTAAACTACTAATATTACACCCTAACTAGATCCTATAGGACCTATTTAATATATAGAAACTAGCAAGGGTCTACACCTAGTGTAGATAGGGTGGTTATTTTATGCGTGTATACCCTAATACCCTATTACTGTAACTAGTAGGTGTTAAGATAGTTGCAGTATTAGCAAGTGGCCCTAATTTAGGAAACTAGCTACCCCTAACTTTAGGCTAAGTTAGGGGTATAAGGAGGATACTATAATAGAGGAATTATTAATAGTAGAGGCTATTAAGTGTCCCCTAGATATTAAGGCTAGGTTAAATAATCCTCCTTTCTTTATTCCCCTCCTTCTAGGTAGAGTAGAGAACGTGTAAGTAATAGTTAATTTAGGGTGCTAGTATTTTAGTGCAGTTAAGGAAAAGTTAGCAAGATAGATTAGTAGGAACTTTATTAACATTCCCCTATAACCCTTATAATATACCTAGAGAATTGCTAAGGGTATAAGAATTTTATAGTTAGTAGTATTAGACTATAATTTAGATAGTTAGTAGTCTTAGCTTTTAGCTTATATAGTACCTAGTCTCTCCTATTAACTAATACTAGGCAGACTATAGCTATATAGAGAGGGCGTTATTATAGATATTCTATAAGGCGAATTAATAATTAGGAAGGTAGGAAATATAGTAGTATAAGAGAGCAGGAGACGCCTATATCCTACCTATATCTCTACTATCTTAGGTTTAGTTATAGTAGGGTTACTAAATTAAGGATCCTAATAGGAAGATATATAGGTATAAATTTTTGCAATAAATATACTAGATATATTATAAGTAATATATAACTTACGCCTAATAAAATATCTAGGAAGTGTTAATAAGGGAGGTCCTAATAATATACACACTATTTATATTACTAGTAATATAGTTCCCTATAAACCTAAGTATAAAACTAGAAAGATAAAGTTACTACTAGAACTATAAGAGTTTAAGGACCTGTTTAACAAAGAGTTAGCAAGTAGTTTGCTACCTTATTAAGGTAGTATAGATTACTATATTTAGTTAATAACTCTCCTAGATAGAACCTAGCCTAACCCCCTATAGGGTCCCCTGTACCCTATATTGCGTGACTAATTACTAGAACTAAGAATATAACTTACTAGATTAATAGATAAGGGCTAGATCTAAGCAAGCTCTTCTATAGCTAGAGCTCTAGTGTTACTAGTAAAGAAGCTATTAGGCAGTTAGCGCTTTTATATAGATTACTAGATGCTTAATAGTATAATAATATTAGACTAATACCTACTACTACTTATTAAGGAAACTTTGCGTACACTATCTAGCGTAAGTTAGTTTATAAAAGTAGATATTTGCGCCACCTTTTATAAAGTTAGAATAGTAGAAGGTTATAAGTCCTTAATAGCTTTCTGCACCTAGTTTAGGTTATATAAATAGTTAGTATATCTATTTAGTCTTAGTAGTGCGCTATCTACTTTCTAATAATATATTAATACTACGCTTATAGAGTTACTTAGATTATATATAATAGCCTACCTTAATAATATCCTAATTTATTTAGGAGGAGACTAGTTTAACTATATAGAAAAAGTAAAGCGTATACTTACGCTATTAAAAGAAGTAGGACTATACCTAGACTTAGAGAAATGTGCTTTTAGTATTAAGGAGGTATACTACCTAGGCTATATTATTAAGGCAGGCAAATTACTTAAACCTAACCGTAAAAAGCTAAGAGTAGTATAGGAATAGGAATCCCCTAGGAATATAAGAGAGGTAAGAAGTTTTCTAGGTTTTACTAACTTCTACTATAATTTTATTATAAAGTTTTCTAAAGTAGTAGCGCCTTTAAACTAACTAACTAGGAAGGACACCCTATTCTAATAGGGAGAGGAAGAATAGAGTGTATTTAATACACTAAAAAAGGTATTTATATCTAGACTAGTATTAACGCAATAGGACCTAGCTAAAGAAATATTATTAGAAGTAGACTATTTAGGATACGCTCTTAGGGGTTACTTATTATAAAAAGTTAGGGGTGTCTAGCGCCTAGTTACTTACTACTCTATAGCACTAACACTAGAGAGATAAAACTATACTATATATAATAAGGAATTGCTAGCTATTATTAAGTGTCTTAAAAGCTAGTTAGTAGAGTTATAGAGCGTTTATAAACTATTTATAATATTTATATACTATAAAAACCTAGAGTACTTTACTAGCCTTTAAAGCTTAAGCAAGTAATAGTGCTACTAGGTAGAGGAACTTTTAAAATATTAGTATATCCTATAGTATAGACCTAGCTATCTTATAGGATAACCTAATACCTTAAGTAGGTAACTATAAGATTTAAACTCCTCTAAAGCAACACTATAGTTAGTAATACGCCCTAAATTAATTTAGGTTGCAGTGTTAGAAGTAGAGGAGGTGTCTAAGTTACTAAAGGGGGCTAGCCTTTTTACTAACCTATATATGCAGACACTATAGGACAAAGTAGTATTAGAAGATAAGATATACTAAGTGTGTCTTAATGCGGTTTAGAAAGGCGCTAGGTCTTTCCTAGTTCTAGCTAACACAAAGTAATAGATTAGGGACTGTGTAATTAGCGTATATAGTACTTTGCTTTAGAGGGGTGTTATTTAGTTACTAATATAGGAACCCCTTATAACTACTATTATATAGTAAGCATATAAATTAGGTTTAGTAGGATATCTAGGAAAGAATATAATATTTTAAATACTACGCTATAACTATTATTAGGATAGAATATTAAGAGACGTTGCGTAGTATATTTAGAACTACTATTATTATAGTGCTTATATCTCCTAGAGGCGCTAATA